GTTGTTCCGTGGTCAGTTCTTACTGTTGCTACTTGGTCCTTGGACAGATTCCTCAGGAGAGAGGGAAGGGGGCTTGGGATGCCCATCCCACTAAGAACTTGCCACAATTTATTATGATCCACACAGTCAAAGGCTTTAGAATAGTCAATGAAGCAGAAGTAGATGTTTTTCTGAAACTCCCTGCCTTTCTCCATTCTCCAGCATCCGGATATTGGCAATCTGGTCTCTCGTTCCTCTGCCTTTTCTAAACCCAGCTTTTATTCTAAAAGCCTCTCAAATGAGTTAAGGCTCTGCAGATGAAACAACAACACCGTAGAACAGTGTTTCTCAACCTTCCTAACGCCGTGACCCCTTAATCCAGTTACTCATGTTGTGGTGACCCCCAACCATAACGTTATTGTCATTCCTACTTCATAACTCTAATTTTGCTACTCTTATGAATCATAATGTACGTATCTGATATGCAGGATGCATTTTCATTCACTGGACCAAATTTGGCACAAATACCATACACCCAAATTTGAATACTGGTGGGTGGGGGGGATTGTAGTTGATGGGATTTATTGTTCGCATACAATCAAAGAGCATTCTGAACTCCACCAACTATGGAATTGAACCAAACTTGGCACACACACACACACACAAAATAGACCCTGACATTTGGAAGTTGTAGTTGCTGGGATTTATAGTTCACCTACAATCAGAGAACATTCTGAACCCCACTAACGATGGAATTGAACCAAACTTGGCACACACACACACACACAAAATAGACCCTGACATTTGGAAGTTGTAGTTGCTGGGATTTATAGTTCACCTACAATCAGAGAACATTCTGAACCCCACTAACGATGGAATTGAACCAAACTTGGCACACACACACACACACAAAATAGACCCTGACATTTGGAAGTTGTAGTTGCTGGGATTTATAGTTCACCTACAATCAGAGAACATTCTGAACCCCACTAACGATGGAATTGAACCAAACTTGGCACACACACACACACACACAAAATAGACCCTGACATTTGGAAGTTGTAGTTGCTGGGATTTATAGTTCAGCTACAATCAGAGAACATTCTGAATCCCACTAACGATGGAATTGAACCAAACTTGGCACACGGGACTCCCATGACCAAGAGAAAATACTAGAAAGGTTTGGTGGGCATTGACCTTGAGTTTGGGAGTTGTAGTACACCTACCTCCAGAGAGCACTGTGGACACAGAGATGGATCTGGACCAAACTTGGCACAAATACTGAATATGCCCAAATGTGAACATTGGTGGAGTTTGGGGAAAATAGACCCTGACATTTGGAAATTGTAGATGCTGGGATTTATAGTTCAGCTACAATCAGAGAACATTCTGAACCCCACTAACGATGGAATTGAACCAAACTTGGCACACGGGACTCCCATGACCAAGAGAAAATACTAGAAGGGTTTGGTGGGCTTTGAGTTTGGGAGCTGTAGTTCACCTACATCCAAAGAGCACTGTGGACACAAACAATGATGGATCTGGACCAAACTTGGCACAAATACTGAATATGCCCAAATGTGAACATTGCTGGAGTTTGGGGAAAATAGACCCTGACATTTGGAAGTTGTAGTTGCTGGGATTTATAGTTTACCTACAATCAGAGAATATTCTGAACCCCACTAACGATGGAATTGAACCAAACTTGGCAGGCAGGACTTCCATGACCAAGAGAAAATACTAGAAGAGTTTGGTGGGCATTGACCTTGAGTTTTGGAGTTGTAGTTCACCTACATAATGGAGAGTACTGTGAACTGAAACAATAATAGATCAGGACCAAACTTTGCACCAATCCTCAATATGCCTAAATGTGAACACTGCTGGAATGTGGGGATAACAAAATTTGACATTTGGGAGTCGTAGTTGCTGGGATTTATAGTTCACCTACAACCAAAGAGCATTATCTTTGGACGGAGCCCTATACAGCTCCAGCCCAGCCTACTTGTCTGAAAGTATCTCCCTCTACATTCAGCCTCGTAGTTTAAGATTCACCGGGGAGGCCCTGCTCTTGGTCCCATTGGCCTAGCAAACTCTTCTGGTGGGGATGAGGGACAGGGCCTTCTCGGTGGTGACCCCCCCCAAGCTTGTGGAATTCGTTCCCCAGCGAGATTAGATCAGCTTCCTACCAGCTGCTAGGAATTGTGGGAGTTGAAGTCCAAAACATCCGGAGGGCCGAAGTTTGCCCATGCCTGCTCTAGTGTGATGAAGTCCTAGATTGTGTTTCTTCATCAGCTTCCTTATGTGGTCAGTGGTTCCCTTGATGTAGGGCAAGAAGTCTTTTCCTCTGGGTGGATCTTTGCCTTGACTCTCATGGCTTGTTCTTGGCCCTGCAGCTCTTCTAATGTCTGTGGTGGAGTCTCCATTGGCCTGCAGATGATCTCTTGCCAAATTTTGGTCTGAGACAGGCTTCAGTCATGCAGATTTCCCATAACTCTTGATTTGTGATTCATTGATTTGGAACTCTGTTCTGAATCATCCTCCATGGTGTTTCCACAAGCACCTTTCTTTGGTCTTTTCCAGCAGTTGGTTAAATCAGTCCCAGAAAAGCATCCATCCCTTGAAAAATGTCATGTTTTGTGCACAAAACGTGCAAGATGTCTTGTTTTGTGCAATGTCGCTAATAGCGAACGTGGTATGCAAAAAGGCACTGCAGAAGAGGAAGTGTTTGGGGTCATGCAATGTTTGATAAGGCCTATCTCACACTGGCAGTTGCAGTCAAAATGCACAATACATGTCCTCTAGTACGCATTTTGTAGTGCAACATGTGTAGTGAAACATGTCATGTCATATTTGTAGTGCAACATGTCTTGTTTTGTGCAACATCGTCAATAGCGTATGTGGCATGCAAGAAGGCTCCTGAAAAGTTTTCTGGAAGAGGAAGTGTTTGGGGTCATGCAATGTTCAATAACGGCTATTTCACCCTGGCAGTTGCAGTCAAAATGCGCACTACATGTATTTGGTAGTGCAACATGTCATGTTTTGTGCAACGTCGTCAGTAGCGAACCTGGCATGCAAAAAGGCTCCTGAAAAGTTCTCCGGAAGAGGAAATGTTTGGGGTCATGCAATAAAATGCGCACTATATGTCCTGTAGTGTGCATTTTGTAGTGTAACATGTCATGTAGTCAACATGTCATGTCATGTCATGTTTGTAGTGCAACGTTGTCAATAGCAAACGTGACATGCAAAAAGGTTCCTGAAAAGTTTTCTGGAAGAGGAAGCGTTTGGGGTCATGCAATGTCCAATAAGGCCTTTTTCACACTGGCAATTGCAGTCAAAATGCACACTACATGTCCTGTAGTGCGCATTTTGTAGTGCAACATGTCATATAATGTTTGTAGTGCAACGTTGTCAATATCGAACCTGGCATGCAAAAAGGCTCCTGAAAAGTTCTGCAGAAGAGGAAGTGTTTGGAGTCATGCAATATTTGATAAGGGCTATCTCACACTGGCAGTTGCAGTCAAAATGCGCACTACATGTCCTGTAGTGCGCATTTGGTTAGTGCAACATGTTATGTTTGTAGTGTATAAAAGGAAGTGGTGGTGGGGAAAAGTGAGTAGTGTCTTTCTTTGCTGCAGAGGAACAAGCAATATATTCGTTTCCAAGCAAAACCGGTTTGTGAGTGATCATTTAATATTACTATATAAAACCTACAGCCTTACACATGTCATGTTTGTAGTGCAACGTTGTCAATATCGAACCTGGCACGCAAAAAGGCTCCTGAAAAGTTCTCCGGAAGAGGAAATGTTTGGGGTCGTACAATGTTTGATAAGGGCTATCTCACACTGGCAGTTGCAGTCAAAATGCGCACTACATGTCATGTAGTGCAACATGTCATGTCATATTTGTAGTGCAACATGTCTCGTTTTGTGCAACGTCGTCAATAGCGAACGTGGTATGCAAAAAAGCTCTGCAGAAGAGGAAGTGTTTGGGGTCATGCAATGTTTGATAAGGCCTATCTCACACTGGCAGTTGCAGTCAAAATGCACAATACATGTCCTGTAGTGTGCATTTTGTAGTGTAACATGTCATGTAGTCAACATGTGATGTCATGTTTGTAGTGCAACGTTGTCAATAGCAAACGTGACATGCAAAAAGGCGCCTGAAAAGTTTTCTGGAAGAGAAAGTGTTTGAGGTCATGAAAATTTTGGCAATTGCAGTCAAAATGCGCATTACATGTCATGTAGTGCGCATTTTGTAGTGCAACATGTCATGTAGTGCAACATGTCATGTTTGTAGTGCAGCGTTGTCAATATCGAACCTGGCATGCAAAAAGGCTCCTGAAAAGTTTTCCGGAAGAGGAAGTGTTTGGGGTCATGCAATGTTTGATAAGGGCTATCTCACACTGGCAATTGCAGTCAAAATGCACACTACATATCATGTGGTGCGCATTTCGTAGTGCAACATATCATGTAGTGCAACATGTCGTGTCATATTTGTAGTGCAACATGTCATGTTTGTAGTGCAGCGTTGTCAATATCGAACCTGGCATGCAAAAAGGCTCCTGAAAAGTTTTCCGGAAGAGGAAGTGTTTGGGGTCATGCAATGTTTGATAAGGGCTATCTCACACTGGCAATTGCAGTCAAAATGCACACTACATATCATGTGGTGCGCATTTCGTAGTGCAACATATCATGTAGTGCAACATGTCGTGTCATATTTGTAGTGCAACATGTCATGTTTGTAGTGCAGCGTTGTCAATATCGAACCTGGCATGCAAAAAGGCTCCTGAAAAGTTTTCCGGAAGAGGAAGTGTTTGGGGTCATGCAATGTTTGATAAGGGCTATCTCACACTGGCAGTCGCAGTCGAAATGCGCACTACTTCAGGCACTCTTTGGCTCTTTTTCTCCACCTCCGGCATCATTTGCCGTATTTTGAAACACAGGCTGGACCAAGCAAGAGCTCTTCCTTTCCTTCCTTTTGTCTAAAACTGTTACTCTGCTGTATTTTTCACCTTCTTACAGTATGATTTGAAACGGTGACTATGGATTTTTCACGTCTTCACACGTACACCCCTCCCCAGTGTGTCCCAGAGAACACTGGCTATACTTATGCACTCAGGTGAGAATCTTACGAATTGCAGGAACATACTGGTACCCAGTAAAGCCCGGTTTCTGTGTTTTAGACTGATTTGGGGGGCTTGGCATTGACGATAAGAGCTCTGTATGTTTCCTTTGCTTAGCTTAATGTCGTAGCTTTGTTTTGAACATGGTTTTGTTCTGCCAACACAACTGGGGATTAAGCAGTGACTCATGATTTGTCAGTCAACTGCAAGGAAAAGGATTTCGGAGTCACACCCAAACATCATTGTTTTGGTTAATCACTGTGAAGGGTGATTAATATCGTTCTGTTCTTTTGCAGTGCAGTGTTCTCTTGCTACTTCGCAGTTCGCTTTTCGCGGGCTCGCTGTTTTGCGGGTTTTGCCTTCCGACAACAATTGGGTGTGGAAGGGGGTGTCACCCTTCCCCTTGAGAGAGAGACAGCCAATCATTTAAAAAAAAGAGAGAGGGGAGTATGTAAATCATGACCTTATAGCCCCTTCCTTGTAGCTAACGGGAGGGAAAAAGTACGCTGTGCCTTTAAATCTCTCCTCGCTTCTGCTTCACCCTATATAAATAAAAATGTGATGTTCATTTGTGGGATTAATATAATATATAAACCACTGGACGAATTGGCACCAAATTTGGACACAACACCCCTAACAGACCAACGAGTGACCATCACTCATAAAATTCCCCCCAAAACAGTGGAAAGGACTTAAAACCCTCCAAAAAAAGCTAAATGATGAAAAACTAAATGACAATACAGAAAAAAGGGAGGGAAGGAAGGGAGAAAGAAAATAAGAAAGAAAGAAGGAAGGAAAGAGAAGGAAGGAAGGAAGGAAAGAGATAAAGAAAGGAGAAGGAAAAGAAAGGGGGAAGAAAGGAAAGAGGTAGAGAAGGAAAGAAGGAAAGAAAATAAGGGAAGGAAAGAGGGAGTGAAGGAAGGAGGGAAAGAAGGAAAGAAAGAAAGAAGGAAGGAAAGAGTTAGAGAAGGAAGAAAGGAGAGAGAAAAGGAAAGAAAATAAGGGAAGGAAGGAAAGAGGGAGTGAAGGAAGGAGGGAAAGAAGGAAAGAAAGAAAGAAGGAAGGAAAGAGTTAGAGAAGGAAGAAAGGAGAGAGAAAAGGAAAGAAAAAAAGGGAAGGAAGGAAAGAGGTAGAGAAGGAAGGAAGGAGAGAAGGAAAGAAAAAGGGAAGCAAGGAAAGAAAGAGCGAGGGAAGGAAGGAAAGAAAGAAGGAAGGAAAGAGATAGAGAAGGAAGAAAGGAGAGAGAAAAGGAAAGAAAAAGGGAGGGGAAGGAAGGAAAGAGGTAGAGAAGGTAGGAAGGAGAGAAGGAAAGAATAATAGAATCATAGAATCAAAGAGTTGGAAGAGACCTCCTGGGCCATCCAGTCCAACTCCATTCTGCCAAGAAGCAGGAATATTGCATTCAAATCACCCCTGACAGATGGCCATCCAGCCTCTGTTTAAAAGCTTCCAAAAAAGGAGCCTCTACCACACTCCAGGGCAGAGAGTTCCACTACTGAACGGCTCTCACAGTCAGGAAGTTCTTCCTCATGTTCAGGATGGAAAAAGAAGGAAAGGGAAGAAAGGAAGGAAGAAAGAGGATGGAAGGAAGGAGGGGAAAGAAGAAAAGAGAAGAAGGAAGGAAAGAGGTAGAGAAGGAAGAAGGAGAGAAAAAAGGAAAGAAAAAAGGGAGGGGAAGGAAAGGAAAGAGGTAGAGAAGGAAGAAGGAGAGAAGGAAAGAAAAGGAAGGAAGGAAAGAGGGAGGAAGGAGGGAGGAAAGAAAGAAGAAGAAGGGAAGAGAAAGAAGAAAGGAGAAGGAAAAGAAGGGGGAAAAAGAAGAAGGAAGGAGAAGGAGGAAAGAAAATAAGGGAAGGAAAGAGGGAGCGAAGGAAGGAGGGAAAGAAGGAAAGAAAGACAGAAGGAAGGAAAGAGGTAGAGAAAGAAGAAAGGAGAAGGAAAAGAAAAGGGGGGGAAGGAAAGAGGTAGAGAAGGAAGGAAGGAGAGAAGGAAAGAAAAAGGGAAGCAAGGAAAGAAAGAGCGAGGGAAGGAAGGAAAGAAAGAAGGAAGGAAAGAGATAGAGAAGGAAGAAAGGAGAGAGAAAAGGAAAGAAAAAGGGAGGGAAAGGAAGGAAAGAGATAGAGAAGGAAGGAGTGAAAGAAAGAAAAAAGGGAAGGAAGGAAAGAAAGAGCGAGGGAAGAAAGGAGAGAAAGAAAGAAGAGAAAGAGGGAGGGAACGTTGGCCACAGCAAAGTGTGGCGGGTACAGCTAGTCTATATAAATAAAAATGTAATTTTTGTTTGTGGGATTAATGTAACCCAAAAACCACTGGACGAATTGACACCAAATTTGGACACAAGACACTTAACAGGCCAACAAATGACCATCACTCATAAAAACACTGAAAAACACAGCAGAAGAGAATTAAAAAGCCCCCCCCCCAAAATACATTACAACACATGAGCAAAACCATACACACACACACACACACACTTATTTTATTTCGTATCAAAAGCATTTCATAAATTAGTACAAAACTGAAAAAACATAGAAGGAGCGCAGGCAGCTAAATATCTTTTGTCCAAAAACGGGCAACAGCAGCAGCATTGTCTGTAGCTTCCAACAATTCTTCCTCTGTACATGAGGCAGGGCATAGTGGACAAGCATACAGATGCTCCACGGTCACATATTGCTTTTAAACATTTGAATATATACTCAAACATATACACAAATATATACACACACAAAACACATATACACAGACTGGGCCACAGCAACTCATGGCAGGGGACGGCTAGTACGATCGATAGATAGATAGCGTCCCTACTTCGCGGATTTTCACCTTTCACGGGTGGTCATAGAATCATAGAATCATAGAATCAAAGAGTTGGAAGAGACCTCATGGGCCATCCAGTCCAACCCCCTGCCAAGAAGCAGGAATATTGCATTGAAATCACCCCTGACAGATGGCCATCTAGCCTCTGCTTAAAAGCTTCCAAAGAAGGAGCCTCCACCACACTCCGGGGCAGAGAGTTCCACTGCTGAACGGCTCTCACAGTCAGGTCCTGGAACGAAACACCCGCGATAAGTGAGGCAACACTGTATGTCAAATGTTCATCATTTTCCTAATCAAGGACAAGGGAATTAGTCTACTGTTATTACAAATGCACATTTTATTTAATGAGAGTGTCAATAATAACCCCATTTTTGTGTGGAATTGGCCTCTGGCTGTCCTAATGATTCAGTAGTTGCTAGCGTAGCTTTTAAATTACAGTAAAGATTAACTGAGGGGAGGTCAATGAAAGGGGCAATCAGGCAGTTATTTTATTGCCACCGAATTATATGTGTGCCGGGGTGCTGCGGTCAATCATTAATTTCCTTTACAAGTGTGTTTTCTTTAGGTAGAATATTTACACCATTTCAAGGAGACCTAAATCTGAATGCATCACCCAATCTAATGTCCAATGTGTTAGTGTTTGTTAAGTAAAAATGTTAAAAACCTGCATATTTTTACCATATTCCAAACACCGTATATACTCGAGTATAAGCCAGGTTTTTCAGCCCTTTTTTAGAGCTGAAAAAGACCCCCTCGGCTTATACTCAAGCCTTCCTTTTTTTTCCTCCTCCCTCTCTCATGCACCTTCCTTCCTCTTTCTCCCTCTTGTGTGCGCCTTCCTTTCTCTTTCTCCCTCTTGTGTGCGCCTTCCTTTCTCTTTCCCCCTCTCGGGTGCACCTTCCTTCCTCTTTCTCCCTCTTGTGTGCGCCTTCCTTTCTCTTTCTCCTTCTCACATGCTCCTTCTTTCCTCTTTCCCACTCTCGCATACACCTTCCTTCCTCTTTCCCCCTCTCACGTGCACCTTCCTTCCTCTTTCCCCTTCGCGCGTGTGCCTTCCTTCTACTTTCCCCCTCTCGCGTGCACCTTCCTTCCTCTTTCCCCCTCTCAAGTGCACCTTCCTTCCTCTTTCCCCTTCGCGCGTGTGCCTTCCTTCCTCTTTCCCCTTCGCGCGTGTGCCTTCCTTCTACTTTCCCCCTCTCACGTGCACCTTCCTTCCTCTTTCCCCCTCTCACGTGCACCTTCCTTCCTCTTTCCCCTTCGCGCGTGTGCCTTCCTTCCTCTTTCCCCTTCGCGCGTGTGCCTTCCTTCTACTTTCCCCCTCTCACGTGTACCTTCCTTCCTCTTTCCCCCTCTCACGTGCACCTTCCTTCCTCTTTCCCCTTCGCGCGTGTGCCTTCCTTCCTCTTTCCCCTTCGCGCGTGTGCCTTCCTTCTACTTTCCCCCTCTCACGTGCACCTTCCTTCCTCTTTCCCCCTCTCACGTGCACCTTCCTTCCTCTTTCCCCTTCGCGCGTGTGCCTTCCTTCTACTTTCCCCCTCTCGCATGCACCTTCCTTCCTCTTTCCCCCTCTCACGTGCACCTTCCTTCCTCTTTCCCCCTCTCACGTGCACCTTCCTTCCTCTTTCCCCTTCGCGCGTGTGCCTTCCTTCTACTTTCCCCCTCTCGCATACACCTTACTTCCTCTTTCCCCCTCTCGCGTACACCTTCCTTCTACTTTCCCCTTCTCGCATACACCTTCCTTCCTCTTTCCCCCTCTCATGTGTGCCTTCCTTCCTCTTTCCCCTTCGCGCGTGTGCCTTCCTTCTACTTTCCCCCTCTCGCATACACCTTACTTCCTCTTTCCCCCTCTCGCGTACACCTTCCTTCTACTTTCCCCTTCTCGCATACACCTTCCTTCCTCTTTCCCCCTCTCATGTGTGCCTTCCTTCCTCTTTTCCCTTCTCCCGTGTGCCTTCCTTCCTCTTTCCCCCTCTTGCGTACATCTTCCTTTTACTTTCCTCCTCTCGCATGCACCTTCCTTTCTCTTTCCCCTTCTCGCATGTGCCTTCCTTTCTTTCCCCATTTTCCGCGCACTTTTCATCCTCTTCCCCCTCTCGCGTGCCTTCCTTTCTCTTTCCCCTTCTCACATGTGCTTTCCTTTCTCTTTCCTTTTCTTGCATGCGCCTTCCTTTCTTTTCCCCCATTT